TAGTTTTACTGAGTGGGTGATGATGGTGTACTGGATGGCTCTACCTCCACGTTTACATCTTATATCACACAAAACTGTGGATGCTTTGAGCTGAGCTGCGTTTCATTGCAGGAGCTGATAGGAAAGATGCTGCAGGTCAACGTCGAGGCTCGATACACGGCACAAGACGTCCTGTCACACCCCTGGGTCACGGTATTCTGTTACGCTGCTTGCATGTAACCCGAACCGTTGTGAGGCTTTTGTGAGTCGGCGAATGTGGAATAACGCGTTTGTGGATCTTTGTAGGATGACGTAGTCTTGGAGAACAACATGAAGATGGAGGTGACAGGTAAATTGAAGACGCACTTTAACACTGCGCCAAAGCACAACAACGCCCCCGCCGGTGTGTCGGTCATCATGGTAAGCACCCGGAAACATCGCAACATGTTCCCTGATTTCATTCATGTCTTTCAGTCACCTCTTCAATCTTAGTTTTATTTGACGTGGGTTCAGTTGTAACTTACGAGAGGGCCTGCGGTGCTGTGAACACGTCAGGCCCTTTTCCAAACACTAAGAGTACGACAAGGACTGTTTGACCCAAATACACAAGATGGTGCTCCTTCTAATTCACATGATATCAATCTTATTCCCACATAATCACTTGTCTCAGAATATCAGGCCTCATCTTCATCCAAGATGACAAGTTATAAACAACTTATCCTGCTGAGAACATGTCAGACGGGATTTTAGAGATGAAGTAACAGCGGAGCCGTCATTCCTACAGTAGTCACATCCTTCCATCATGTCTGTTTCAAATCCACCTTTGCATCATTTTCTGTTGTACAGTTTCTCTGCTCATGTCATCAGGTCACACAAACCCATCAGCTCTCTTTCTTCAGTCGGGGAAGGGGGGGGAAGGAAGGAGAAGTTCCTTCGATTATTTCATTTAATTTAACGCTAATTATTTGATCTGATTGTACCACAAAGAGCCTCATTTTGTTGTAAATCTCATTTGACAGTTTGAGGTGTAATTGCTGGGCCCTGGCCTCGGCTCCTCCTCCTCCTCTCCATCCTCTTCCTCCTCCCTCATCCTCACCCCTCCCTCACACCTGACCCAGGACCACAGGGGACGCCTGGAGCTGAGAGCCGGGTACACGCTTCATACTCCCTCCTCCCAACTCTTCCTCTCCAGCCATCGCCCTTCCCCTCGCCCTCTTCCTCCAACAACTCCCACACACTTCCCCCCCCTCCTCACCCTCCCTTTCTCTTCCTTCCTGTTTCATTCTCAAGCCTCCCCCACCCCTCTGCTCCTCTTCTTCGGCTGCAGCAATAACCGCTCTCACTAACCAACCGATGTGTCTGACGCTCATCATTCTCCTCCTTCACTCACATTTCACCACATTTGCATTGATCACAAACTTTAACGGGATGTGATAAAAATCTGTCTGTGTTTTTTTATTTTATTTTAAAGGATGTGTTTGTCATCGAGGTTTTTAACGGCATGTTTGCTAATGCGAGCTAACGCAAGTCTGCTGTGATTTGCGTCCCTCTCTGTATTTATTTTGTTAGTAGAAACAGGTCAACTTTCCTGTGACTTGTGGATCAGTGAATCTGTAATTGGCTGCGTAGTGTTCAGTCGTGATACTCTGGCGCCACCTTGAGGAGAAGGTTAAGAAGTGTGCCAGCACTGCTTTGTAGTCTAAATTTGCAGAGATGGATGCAAAGTGGCTTTATTGCCTTGGATGTAAGATCCCCCCTGCATATTTTACAAAATAAGGCCAGGTTTTTTTATTTTGTTTTAAATTATTGTCCACAAATGCAGCCAGAGATGCTTTACACAAGGGTTCAATCATTTCAGTTTATTAGCATCTGAGCTTAGAGCATCTAGTCAAACAGAAATAGGAGTAAATGGTGCATTTATTAAAGATTTTTCTAAATGCAGTGAATATTTACAGCATCAGGAGTGAGGATTGTCTAAATCAAAATCAAAGTGTTAATATCTATGGTAATAAATTAACATATAATCCAGAGCTACAATGTGTTTGTAACAGTTCATTGTCATTTTATGGCATTTGTGATCAGAATAATGCCAGACTTACATTTTAAAACTAGTGGAATAAAAAAAATAAATAAATCACATGTTCGCCCTGCAATGTGTTGAATCTGATGTAGATGTAGTTCAGCCCTCACTGACATGTGTTTCTGCCTGACGTAGTCCTTTTGTAGAAAACTACAGTTTGTTCCAACTCAGTCCTCTTGAACACAAAGAGTCATTTGGTTTGGAATAAGTTTGAATGATCTGAAATAGCAGCACTGAGCTGGAACAGCAACTGTCCACTGGCCATCATGCTTGTTGTGTTGACTTTATTTTGTGAAGCTGTGAGTAAGACTAGTCTCTGTCCCTTTTTTTGCTTCTTCCCCCTCCACCCCCCCTTCCCCTCTCCCTGCATTTCGTCCCTCTGAATTAGCTCCAAGGCAATGGTATGTACTAACACTTAACGCTACGCCTCGTCTGTTCTGCTGCTGAGGTTCAGCAAAGGGCAAATGAGGAACGTTTTTGTTTTTGTTCTTTTTGTCCCGTGGTCTCAAACACACATCATTTGGTTTTAATTCATACTAAAAAAAAACAATTCATGCATCTGTTGAATGACAAAGTAAACATTCTCTTTCTCATTTGCCCTTTCTCTCTGCACGTAGAGTAGCACTTGGTCTGATTCGTCTTCTCTTGGGGTCAGTCTACTTTGTGACCTTTATTTTGAACCATCTTTCAGTTATTTATGTCCATTTTCATTAGTTTGTTTCATCATGAGTGTTGTTAGTCACAAAAAAGTACAGAACTGGGTCAGTAATTAATGAATGTAGTTATAAAAAGAAAACATTTAGTTGATTAAATCCCTTTGCAACAGCTAGACTATACTTCACAGGGAAACACACGAGGATTGTTTATGCTAAATGACTAAGGTGTCCTGAATTCAGTGTAGATTGACCCACAATATGTCTTTCCTTCTTTCGCTGTCCTGATTGACGGTATTAGACACTCAAGTATCGAGCTGACGGTTTGTCTGTCTGTTTTGCCAGAACACAGCTCTTGATAAAGAGACCCTTCAGCTCACTGCCCGTCGTTGTCCAGATCCACGAGCGGTGCCATGTTCACCATCGCTCGCTGGCAACAAACTCCCATCTGCTCTCCCAGTCGAACCAGCTTCTCCAACCAAACAGGCGCCATGTGCCAAAGTGCCAAAATCCACCAGCCTGGCTCCACCAACCACTTGTCACGAAGCACCCGAGACTGCAGCAGCTGCTGGGCCTGATGCTCCATCCGCCTCTAGACCTCACCACTCTCAGTCCCCAAACGACGGCCACCTATTAGCTGCTAAGGTAGATCCGCCTCCTCCTCCTGCTGCTGTAAGTTCGCTTCAGTTCTCACCTTCACCCTCTGCTGAAGCTCCTCCCATCGCCTCTTTGCCCGTTTCCTGCCCTCCTGAGATAGAACCAAGCTCCCTCCCGGCTGCTCCCTGTCCATCCATAGAGCCGACCTCACCGTCTTGTCCTCCAACTCCTTCTACACCCATCTCCTGTCCTTCCCCACCGTCTCCTTCCAAACCCACCTTTCCTCTCTCCCCCTCTTCTCCCACCGAACAAGCCTCCTTTCCCTCTCCGACCAAACAACCAGCATCCCAAACCTCCTCCTCCCCCACAAAACAAGCGTCCCCCTCTCCCGTCTCCCCCATCCAGCCTGTCGTATTCTTCCCGCTCTCCTCCCCGACAGAACAGGAGCCCTCCTCCCCCTCTCCCATCCATCCAACTCTGTTCCCCTCTCCTCCCTCCACACCTCCCCGGTCCACCAGCCCTCCCTCTCCTGCTGGCCCTCCTTCTCCCAGCCCTCCACCCGCTGAGGAACTTATGGAGAAAATCTAGAAGGCCGGTCTGTTCAGCTGCCACTCTCACCTCCTCTTTCCGTGCACAAAACAGAAAACGGGATGAAAACACATTGAGCATTTCTTAGTAGCTGTAAACTGAGCCAGGCACTGACTGCTGTATTCACATCTACACTTCTCATGCTTGTCACTCGTCGTGTGAAACGGAGGACGCGAGGCGTTTCCCCAAGAGTGTCGACTGTATATATGTGTTTTAATTTATTATCGGAGGGAGAAAGGGAATGAATTGAGTATCACTGTTCTGAGTGGTTTGTCTTTTGAAGTCATGCGTCACTGTATCACATAATGTGAATTGTTCCTCTCATTTAATATCTCACTCGGAGTCCCTTTTGTAAATAGTTATTCAGGACAAACACATCCAAACGTGAACTCCTATTGCTTCAGCACAGAGACAGTACTGTAACCATTATACGAGTGTTTCAGCATATCAAAACTCGCTAGACTAGCTACCTGTAGTGTAGCCATCCTGATAGTGGCGGCACATTTACTCCTTTTATCTGTAAAGTGTTACTGTAAACAGTGGGTGGACAAAATAACAGTAAAATCTACCAAAGGATCGAGTAAGTCGAAGCTTCATTTCTGCCTCTGCGACTTTTCGATGCGTGTAAAAGTGGTGATGTTTAGAAACGAATAGCTGTTAACTTTCAATCTAAGAGTATGTCCAAAGTCCTTAGAGGCAAGTCTCACCAAGTCGCAGTTATTTTGGGCTAAAAAGACCAGGATCTGATCTAAATGAATGTAGAGACTGCAGTTTAAATGGTCACTAGGACATAAAAACTGCACGTGCAGAATCACCAATCAAATCTGATTAAAAAATCTGATGATGTTGCACCAAAATAAGGCTTAAAAGTGCATTCTCCCCCAAAAGATGTATTTGAACCACACATGTGCACAGTTTTATGACAGTGTTTGATTCACTGCAGCAACATGATTGTGTAGAGGGACGTGTCATCTTTAGGAAATTCTCCAGCACATTTCTTTAAAGTGGAGGGTTTTTTTGTCATAACATGTCTGATGTGTCGACCCCCCAAAAAAATGGCATTTTTAAAATTTACCCTCAAAGTAAAATGCACGCGTGTTAGCGATGATAAACATCTCAACCGAAGGCTTACATTGTTTTATTTAAAGCCCCCCTCCATTAAAAATCAAGTCCTATACTTTGTTAGCATGTCCATATTTTTTATGTGCTGGAAAACACATCATGAGTGAAATAAGCAGTAAACACCATTTGTGAGACTCAACCTTGAAACCGTAGTGTACCGACGATGGTCCCCAAAACACAGAAAAACTATTTTGTGAAGCACAAATGTGGCCTTCTGCTGTTCTAATTCCATAATCATCTTCAATTTATCTCGTGATGCTCCACAAGCAGCACGTAGGCACGAACATGTGCAGGTGATGATAAGTCCGCCGCTAGTTTCATATAAAAATGTGAATGAAATTATGTTTGTGATGCTCACGTAATTGAAAATGTTACAGCAGCGGTGACTCTTTCCAGAAACAACGTCCCAGTTACTCTGAATAATTCACTTATGATTCAGTTTAAATTAGTTCTGTGAATTATCCAGTACCTGGATGGCAGCCTCGGGGAAAGAAAGCGAAACATTTTCATTATCGTGAGCACAGAACACAATTTATCCACCTTCACGGTATTGAAGCAGAAATTTCGCAGATGGATATCTACAAAGCTGTGCAGATAAACCCAGATGCTGGTAGATATAAGTGAGGGAAAAAAAAGGTTGTTTTTGCCCACGTGGTTGTCTTTTTGCATTATTTTGCTCACCCACTGTCGCTGACACACATGCTGACTCATTCATTCGCTCACTGTACGTTTGTGTTCTTTGGTGTCGACACTGTATTTGTACATAGTGTGATGAACCTAAGCTGTCCACCTGAAACTTGAAGGTTTGTATTTGCATATGTGTGTTTGAGCAGCCATGAACTGCAAAGGCATAACTGCTGTACAGAAAAAAAAAAGTAAATCCAACAGACATTAAACCAAACTGCAGGTTTGCTTCTAATACAAACTGCTCTGGACAAACAGCTGCGACTAAAGCATTGCACAGTAAGGACACACGTTTCCCACTTGGTGTAGCTTCTCCTGACAAACGAACTAGTTAACACTGCTCATGTAGAGAATTCAACTTGTGTTTTTTGGTCTGTTGGATTTATAAGAACGAATGTGTTGTCAAGGTGACGGGTTGGTACCTGATCACAGCTCATTGCTTAATGATGCCTTTATCCAAACCAGCTTGGCTGACAAAATGATGTCCCACATACCGATTCCTAAAAAAATTAAGTTATTAGTGATTTCTTTTGTCCTTGTTTTAAGCTTTTATCCCAGCTGCTGTTAGTAGAGCCAACTCCTCCAGTGGTTCAACATGCCTCTTTACCACATCTGGACTTTTTTTTCTGTTGCATGAATACTCCTCTCTGTAAGACAAAAGCCTCACACGTTCACAAAGTCAAGTTGGTACACAATGTCATCTAGTTTCTCTTATGTATATGTAGTCAAAGTAGATTTTCATATGCTTTGTTTTAGCAGTTTGTAAAGGGAAATTTGTATGAAAGACGAGTTTTAAATAGATCAAACGTGTCAAACTGGAGTTTTTATTATGAGTAGAGCGGCTGCTTTTAATGTCCCACTATTTTGGAACAGTTCAGCAAAAAAAAGTTTAAAATGCAATAAAGACTTCAAATCCATATGTGTTTGTTGTGAATGTGTGTGTTTGACCACTAGAGGGTGCTGTGACGCCTCATGAAAAAGTACACTGACACCAGTTCAAGTTATAAAATTCCATTTTATTGTTTGAACTCCGCACACAAAACACTCCAAAATGATTGCAAAAAAACAAAAACAAAAACAGGATGGGTTGATAGATAAAAGTAGTTCCCATAATAAGTGGAGATTCAAACCACATCGAAGCGCAAACTTTAAAGAAAGGAATGTTTCCTGAAAAAAAAAATCAAAGATAGAAGTGGATGCTTGTTGAACAGAAGACCAAAGGAAGATGTCTCGTTAGCATTTTAGTGCAGAATCACATCAAGATAATCACTCAGTCTGTGATTTAAACAGCTGTGATGAAAAAAAAAAGAGAGAGAGAGAAAGGAAAAAACAAAAAAAACCCAGATAGAAATGGGTAAGTCCTTTCTTTTCATTGCGCATCTCACTTTGCTCTTAGCTGCTTTGGAGACGAGACTCGAAGAGGACTTTAAAGGTGCCGAGCTGGCTTGGACGCTAGATATGATTTATATTTAGGGACGTAAAAACTCTCAAATCTTCACTTTATCTTCAGAGACATTAATCAAGGTTCCCATTTTGGAAAAAAAAAACCAAAAAAAAAACAATTCACTGCTCAGTCATTTAAGAAATAAATGTCAAAAGAGTTGACTCCTTCACAGAAAGCTGATTTGTTTTAATATCACTGATGCTGGGAGGTTTTGTGTTTTTCATGTTGAAAGTATTAAATAATATTGCAATAGATCTGCACTGATATGTTTCATATGAGTAGTGAGCCATGCACAGAAACGCAATCTCTTAGCAAGCACAGAGGTACAGAGGGAATAGAAATCTTAAATATGGAGGACTACAGTTAAACATTATATATAGATATTTATATAAATGTGTATTCCCTCTTCACTTCTCTCTCTTTTCAATACATTTATTATTTATTCAAACGTTTCATATCTACTTGCTGTGAAGCCAAAACAAGGAAAAGCATGTTAAAGTGAGTGATAGCTTAATAATTGCTGCCCACATACACACCTACGGGAAAAAAAAAAAAATCATTCACCCCTAAAGTACACAAATATTTGGATTTTTAAGTCAAGAGAAAAGTTTCTCACTAACTCCCCACGGATCCCTCTTTTTCTTTTAGTGGAGGAGATGAAAATAGACTCTTAAAGCTAAAAATAGATTTGTTTTTAACCGTACAGGAACAGAACCCCAACCCTAAGATTTATATGAAAATTTTCTATCTGATCTACAAAATATAGCAATGCCCTTTTTAAAAATAGTTTGATTCTTTTACTATTACAGGACAGATTTTTTTTTGTTGTTGTTTTGTTTTCTTCTTCTTTCATTGAGATACATTCAGGATATCAGGATATAGACAGAATAGTGCCTTTGAGAAGAGTTCACACTTTTCAACAGTTTGGATTTTTCTTGTCAGTCCGGCGGCTGCTGCTCAGTACCTGGTCTGGTACTCGTGATGCCACCTGTTGAAGTCGTTGTAGAAGAGGACGATGCTTCCAGAGGCCATGCCGGTTATGATGCACCTTGGTGCAGGAGGAGGGAAACATTGAGGTGAATTTAATGTTACTGATGTAATTCTTCTTAACTGTACTACATTCATTTGATATTGACTGGCTAATCTGAAGAATAAGACAATAAATAAATAAATAAATAAATAAATAAAATCAGATCATCTCTCAAGATATCATTAAGTACATAAAATCTGCATTGTCTCGATCAGCTACAGCATTAAACTGCTGCTTACATATTCACACATCAGTAATGGTATTAATCATAAAATACATATTGAAGTGTTTTCACACAAGGGACATGACCAGAGTCATAAGTGACGGCTGCAGAATAATAGTCAATATTAAAAACGGAGTAGAACAAAGTAGAAAACAGTCGTAACCTTGTCAGTCAGACAGCAGTAGCTACAGTCGTCCTCAAATGTATTCATACCCTCCCATTAAAGAAGGAAAAAAAACAGCTCTAACGGAAATAAGTTGAAATTGACAAAAGTAATAATAAAGAAAAAAATAATAAAAATCACGACGTTGCTTCTGAAATGTGGTTCAACAGAAATATATATAGAAAAAAAACAAACAAAAAAAAAACAAGCAAACAAGCATGATAGGACCCATAAACTAACATTTTGTTGAACAACCCTTTGAGTCAATCACTGTAATCAAGTGTTTTCTGTAACTCTCAGTCAGACTTCTGCACCTGTTGACAGCTATTTTGATTTTGGTCCACTGCTCATCAGCAAAGTGCTCTAATTTATCCAAGACAGTTTCCCCCCCACACCCCAATTATTCTTTTCAACCACAAGTCAAAAGCAATGTCTCATGTCACTAAATTACAATTTAGCATTTTTTAAAATGTATTATTACTTTTTTCAGTTTCTAGTTATTTGAGTGACTATTATGAATTTTGCCTTTTCTTTAATGGAAGGTTATGAATACATTTGAGGACGACTGTATCTGAAGTTTGCTAAAAGTATCCATTAGTCACTGAGTAAAGCTGTAGCGGTGACAGCTCTGAGTGTGTTGGACGAAGCAGAGGTTAAAATTGTGGTTATTCATCACAGTGACATTATTGTGCATTTCTATTTTAAAAATTTGCTAAAATAAATCTTTCGCTCTAAACAGATTTTGTAAAAAACAAAAAAAAAACTATTCACTCCTCAGTGCAACTATGAAGCTATTAGTCACTGGGCTGCTCGGTGAGAAAAATTCAGGGACTTTTTCACATGACGTGGAGGCTGTCTACAAGGACCAGATAGGAAACAAGTATGTACATGGATTAAACACTGAAATAGTAAAATATTTACAGTATCCAGTCACCACTTTACCCCAGTATTTGTAAAACCTTTGGGCACAAAATGTTGTACATGCTGATCCCAGTTTTCTTTTCCACTTTTTTGGGGGGAGGGGGAAGAATTGAAGAATTTCTTTTTTTATGACTTACAGAATTACAACTTTTAACACTGTACTGCAGAAAAGACATTTTAAGGCCTCTCTGCTTCTAGCCGTGGTTGTGTTGTTTCCATAGAGGTGCAGGGCTTTAAAAATTAGTTCACAGTGAGGAAAATGTGTTAAATAAAAAAGACAAAAAGTGTTTGTGGTAAAAAGGGATCATCCTTCAAAAGTCATTGTAAAAGCTTTCACTTCAAGTGCATAAATTCCTCTGAACTTCTATTTTAAAAAGAAGACCGTTGTTGTTGTCATTTTAACGTTGTGATATTGCTTCATTTACTTCTTAAGGTAAAAGATGTGAATACTTCTTTCACCACCACATTAAGGCATTCATAATTCCAGTGTAGGAGAGTGTTTTGATGTGTGCTGGTTACCTTTGGTCATGCGACATGGCCATGGAGCGGATTCCTGCGTCACAGCCGGGGTAGGTGAACAGCTGTTTGAGGTTGTGGACCTGCCAGACAGAAACTACACCTCCATCACCACCTGTCAGCAGATACTGGCCATCGCGGCTCAGAAGCATGGCCTGGCAAGGACAAAACACAACAAGTTCATGAGTAACTTTTTAATGAGCTCAAGAATTCTCTGCTTCCAGCACATTAGATTCAGTCTAGCTTTTGTAATATACACAATTTCAGATTAGGAAATATGCTTCCTAATCCTGAGCATACTGTACAATCATCTTTAAACTGTCCTTCAATGCTCCAAAAAAACAAACAAACAAAAAAAAACAGGGCAGCAAAAGCTGTTCAAACTGGAACCACATGCATAAATTGTCTCCGAATAGGCCTGGTGATCTGGGACCAGTTTATCTCTAATGTCAAAGTAAAGCTCATACTGCGAGGTCGTGTGATCTGACAGAAGATCCCAGGTCAGCTCTGCCATCCTCGGGGGCTTTCTGTACACAGACCCCGACTTGCAACAAAGATGGCTCCCCACAGTGAGGCTCGGAGATTTACTTGTCTCATCTGCTTTTCCTGCAAACTGTAGCAGCTGAATGGCTCCCCGGGGAATCAGATGTACACAAATCAAGTCATGTGCTGGAGTCTATTATGGGCACAGTGCATAGTGGAAGCTAAAACTGGAACAGTCAGGAGCATCAATCAGCAAGTAACCGTAGCTGATGAAATGACGAGGCAGAATGTAAGTTCTAAAAGCAGCAAACGCCACTAATGTAGAGCTTTTGTCGTTTGCGGTTTTATGACACCAAAGTCGGACGTCTTTCAGCTGCAGCCGCTTTGCAGCGATTCAGCAGGAGACACTTCAATCATCGGCGGCATGTGTGTTGAATCAGGCTCATATTAAACGGAAAAATGAAACTTAAAGCTGGAACAAGTCATTTTCAGGCACTTGATTTTGTAAGGAAAACATAAATAACCCTTCAAGAGCAGTCCAGAGTGGATTGGACGTAGCCGAAATTCTGCAAATGTTTTGTATATATATTTTTTGAAAAAAACACTTTAGTGCAATTTCCACACTGAGTTAAATGAGCTCTGGTTCTCATTCTCATCCTGCACGCACTTCAGGCACAAAGTTGCATGTGGAGGCGTTCAGACAGATACAAAATGGTCACACAATGATTCACTCGCACGCTGGCGGGAGGCCTCGAGAATCAATCCAGCCTAATTGCCACGTTAGATCATCATCCAAGATGGCCGGGAATAGAGCATGACTGAGTGTAGTGGTTTGGTTTGTGTGGTGTCGGTCCTTCATTGTGTGTACAGTAACCGTCGTGTGTATCAACATTCAGAGTTAATCTGACAGCAGCGATAAAGACGATGCTCATTTCAGCCAATCATGACCAATGAGATGCAGCTGAAAATGTGTGACTCAGTAGATCCACCACAAAATGTGAGTTTAAACCACCAACCAGCACAAACAATATGAGTCGTGTTTGTGTCCACCTGATGGGTGGAAGTCCAGTGTTCACCTTTAAGCTCTGTGTTTAGTCTCAACCAACTCCTATCTGCCTCTTTAGCTGTCAGATGCTC